TTTTTTTTTAATTGGCGACCTGTTAATATGCTTGTCACCAACACATGAAGTTAAATCTGTTTCAGATGGTTGCCGGAGCACGTAACGTTGCTTGCCCGCTTCGTGTCAGAGCCTTCACCACTGAAATCAACAGTTACAAAAGCTATAGCCGAATTTCGCCGCACGCATGCAGACACATGGAATGTGCATAAAGACTCATTCACTGAAGAGCAACTCGAGGTCTAACCCTCTACTATACATGTCCTATTAATGCCAAAAGAAATAACTATTGTGAATATTTGCCAAATGTGAATTGTTATCTGATGTGTTCTAACATGAATTATCTCAGGTTCTGGCTGATACTTCATCGTCGTCTTCGTACTTTGCTTGATACAAAGCCAGTTGCAAAAGAAAAGGGTATAACATAGACATCATGGATGTATCATTTCATTTGATATTTATGTATTACACTTTGTAATATAATATGTTGTCACATGCTCTAAATAGTTTTATATGCCTCATTTCTTAGGTTAAAGAGAAATAAATATATTACTGTAAGTTGGAAAGTGTTGTATTTCTAATGACTGGTTCTTTCCTTTTCTAAATCCCATGCCAACATCTCCCTAATTTCGTCTTGACTTTCTTTTTTTTTTTCTTTTTTTTTTTTGGAAGAAATGAAGTAGAGAAAAAGATATATACTTCGTTGTACCCAAAAAAAAAAAAAAAGATATATACTTCGGAAAAGTGTTTTAAGGTTTGGCAAGCATGTCTTAGCTTGGAAGCTGTTTAAAGTTGAAATCAATAAGTATTTAGCCAACATAATAAGCTATTCAAAATAAATTATAAATTAGGTCTTCATCTAACCTAGCTTGCGAGATGTTCAAAATTCGAATGAGCGAGTCTACCGCTCAAATTAAATTATCCCTTTAAAATTGTTTTTCGAGAAGTTAATACACCGCAATTAGGAATTGATTTCCATGATAACATGTTTCATTAATTCAACAAGATCATCTTGTTGTATTCGTTCATGGATTACAATGATAAAAAAATAAATAAATAAATAAACTCCATCATCTTCATGACCTCTATCAATAGTTTGAAGTGGATCATATTCCACTACCTTGGCACTTTTCTTCCTTCAAGATCTTCTAGCTCATAAGTTCCTTTTACTGGCACATGCTAAAGTGCGTCATCTCTTCACAAATAATATTTCATGCAAAATATTTTCTAGACTCCGCAAT